AGGTCCACTTACTCATCGCGATACGTCGATACACATAACTAAGTATTAATTAATGATACCGAATGAAAATGTAGCAAACGTAGCACTAAATAACAAACCTTTATCACTTTTAGGTAGTTTTTTGAATCGGTTGTTAGTTTCGCGAGTTGATTTCCGATTTCGCGAAATACGTCCACTTAACAGGACGTCTGAACGCACACTGGCTGCGCGGTGGCTCTTTGAGGGGAAAACGCGCTGACATAGGATTGTTTAAGCACTGGATGGCTTGAGGAACGCTAGATTTGGCACCAAAAATGGAGATACATAATCCTAAACTTTAATCTTACAAAATAATTAGCAGGGCTACGGGCTACGAATAGTAATTGTTGTTTATTTGCTACGCAACTAAAGGCTCTTATATATTTTCTGTTTCAATTTACTCCTTAGGTATCAGTATACCAAAAACAAGCTACAATAGAATACCTATATATTATGTTCTATTGAAGACTATGAATCAAGTGGAAAACGATACAATAAAAAAACATGGCCCTGTGATTCTAAAATACATTCTATTTAATATAGTGTTTTTATATCTGTTGTTCTCTTATAATGTTTTAATTGTATCTCGAATAAAAAAAAACTTGATAGCGCTGACTTCTGAAAGACCAGAGAAACGCCATTTCAGCGCAATAAGCGCTTAATTTGCTACGTAGTGCGTTCGGTATAGTTGGTAATACTTGTCCACTGCCACCCCCCCATACCAAAATGCATCAATGACACGACACGCACATCGCTTCGTAATCGATGAAAAACTTAACAACGGTAACTTTTTATACAATAATAAGAAAAAAAATATCTATTAACAAATAAATTAAAGAACAAATCAAATTTAACTACTTATAGATACAAGATAACGAATCTCTCTGGTTCAATTGAAATGTGTTGTTTTGGGTTCGATTCTTATAATAATTACTTCAGTCTTGCAGTGTGAAAGGGCATCAAAGATTTATCACCTTGTCAATCATAGACACAATAAGGTCAACAAAATGTGTATGTCGCGATTTTGCCTTTACCTAATCGATTTTTTAAAAGCCATACTTAAATACACAAACGTCAAAAATATATTGCGTACGGCTCGGTATTAAAAAAATACAGACTTGTGTATTTTACCTTCATGGCAACAGTTTTGTACCTTCGTAGTAACAGTTCGAAAGCCTCCACTAACGTCCGCTGCGTAATTCCTGTATTTTTCGGGGCACGTCGAGTTATATACGCACGAATGTGAGTAGTACATAAGCGCAGTTGTGTGCGTGACGCTACAATTACGTCATTAACACGCCGTAAATAAGCCCACAGATAAATTATCTCAATTAAGGTTTTATATAATTGAATAGAGTTGCCAATCGTCGGAAATTAGCGATAATCTGCACCAGGTAAAGAATGTAAATATTTTAAAGATCTGTGGATAATATAAAATAAGCGTAAAATTAACACAATTACGAGGTAATTGATTTATTTAAAATGCAGAAAATTTTATTACACAACGAGAATGTCGTTTTGGTTAGTGACTAACAACAAATCCTAGTCCCATAAGTGGGAATAAAAGACTATGACAACACAGAGCAAAATAGGTATATCAAATTTGTTAAGGCTGATCTTTTTCTATGAGAACCACACAGTAGTACCTAATCCTAGTTTATATAACAACACTACAACTTAACACCTACACTCACACAATAACAGATTATCATTAGAAATCGAAATCATGATTCTATACAAAAATATGTTCTACCCGCCACCCTAGGGGAAGAATCTTGCGCTATTTCCTTGTCTTAATTACTTATTGAATCCCTCACGAGTGATGCTCCCCTGGTATTGTAAGTATGGGATCAATATTTTTAACCGATTGTCACAAAAATGATAAATTATTTGGAAATATACCAGACTGAAACCGAAACGCGTTTAAACTTTTCTAACAACTAATTACCGCATGTTACTGAAAGTTATCATCATATAAACATAGTGGGGATCGAACCCACGATCCTTTGAATAATAAAATTGAATTATTGAAAATTATTAATAACTTAATAATATTTCAATGTAATTTGAGTGACCACGTTTCAGAATGCGGCATATCCTTTTATCTTTTAAAGCCTAATACAGGAATCACACAAGACTCATGTTACCCTACAACGTACAGACGTATCACATACAACTCAATTTACCACTCATATAATGTGCCAACGTGTCAAATATACTATGTACTTGAAGTGAGACTACATTTCCATACCTAGGTATGCACGTTACTGATATTGTGTTGAATCTGGTATTTTGTAAAATGTTTAATCTGCTTAATGAAAATTTATTTGAAAACTTTCGCATATTGATGCTAATTCGATGTAGCTTAAATATTTAGTTGTGGCTAAAAATTAGCAGTAGACCACACTAGAGACATACTGCTAAATATATAATTGTATAGTTGATGTATTTACTCGTATCATAAAAAATGTATATTAAATCGAATTGAAAATTTTGATTTACTAATATTTAGAATAAAGCTTTACAATTTTGTATAAACAAGACATTGACAATGGATTCAAATTGTTCACATTAACTGCAACTACTATAGATTACTATAATTACTATGGGCTTACAAGATGTACGTATTGACCGAATTGTAACTGTGACCTTAACATCTAGACGTAGGGTTCATATTTCATTGAGAATTCTATCAATTTATAATGACTTGACTTAATAGGTCAGAGACTTTACAGACTCATTCGGCAGCGAATATGCTAAAATTGAAAGAAATACAATTGACCACTCATATAATGTGATGTAATTGATTTGAAAACAAAGAGACGTTATAAAAAGCATTTTGTCTGTCTATAAAGCCCGGCTCCACATTTTCCGGCTATTGGTGTAAAATTAATAAAGTACAGTTTAAATCTCAAAAATAAAATCAGTGTAAACTTTATAAAATTATGGAAAACGCAGTAATAATCTTATCTGTTTCGCTGAATTTCCTGTTTACTGGTGCATTATAATTGTGTGTTACAAATAATTACAATTGTTGAATGTGAACATCCTTTAAAAAGGGGAGCTGTTGAAAGTGGGTAGCAAACTCACAAACCGATAGTCATATTTGATACTAGTGCACCCGATAAAGTGTATGCAGTCCCTAACAAATCTAGCTACCAAATCTGCTAGTTTGTGCAAATACACCTATACCTATATACAACACGCAGATTACGTCAGGCAATTAATATTATTATGTAAGCGTGACCTGATTGTGCTTATAGGATTTACTAATTACTCATAAAAATATAACTATGTCATACTAGAAAACTTTCTTTGATCACTTTGTAAGACAACGCGAAATTAAGAAAATATAAGAGCAAAGAAATATTTGTTGGCAACATTTCGGCAAGAAGAAATTTCGGCGTCTATGATTATAAATTTTCAATTTGGAGGAAACTCGCCACCCCTGAAGCTTGGTGTACCCCGACCAGGGTGACATAACACTACGGCAGTTAATTAGAAGAGGGAGCGGCGAGACAGGCGCAGCGCGGGCGCGCCATTCAGAGAAAATTGTCGTTATACGGCCTCCTCCCTTAACATTCGAATAAAACGGTTACATCTTATAAGCACATGTTGCCCTGGTTGTAAACAGAAATTAATATCGGTCTATGTTCACGACCTCACCATCAAAAAGGAGTAGTATTAAAATGCCTAGGAGGGCCCTAACTGTGCTATGTAAATAATTTAAGACTCTATCTCCTATGGTACAAATCCTATAATCCTGTGAAGCAAATTGCCACGATGGCGTGGTCTAATGTTCGTAGGCTAATGGCTTTTTCTAATGTCGGCTATGATCTTAGTACGTATATAAATTCTGAAGGTTCGTTTTGTACGTGCCAAATAAATCCCACTGCAATGATTAATAAGCAATTAAAGTATAACAGTTACAAAGCACCTGCACCCTATGGGGCTCGTAAAATTAATGTCAACCTGGGTAATACCTTCTTTGTTCGATAGAAAGTAAGAAGGTAATGAGATGTGTTTTATGATAATTATTATGAGTAATTAGCATTTATGCATTACTGTATAATCTGACGAATTTACTTTATGTCCTGTTGTAACAAATTTCTTAATTATATTAACATAACCTTTTTGAAATAATACAACATCCACACAACAATATGTTTTAGAGAATATTTTTAACGCTATTTAAATTTTATAATTTTCTTCATTTTTTATGGTAATCTTATTCTCACGCTCATCTGGTAGTAGTAACCTACAAATTAAGTTAGTTTTAATAAGATCCTATAAGGGAATTAATTAAATATATCGATACATTGTTTTCCAGCACAAGAGAACCATAAGCACATCAGATATAGCCCATAGCATAATGCGACCGTAACCGTCTAGCACAGCTAAAACCCGGGCATTCGGTCTAAGGAACGCGGTCCAGCAGCTAAGCAGAAAAAACTTACTGAGCATGAAGTCTGTTATTCCATTTCCTCTATGTGGAAAATGCATTACTGCGGTTATTTTAGTTACATGCAAGTAGTAAATGTGAGATCAGTGCCCTGCCCAACCAAATCTATACAAGGGCGGCTAAAGTCTCAACCAAAATTTGAATTCCCTAAATTAATTTCATGACACAAACAGTTAATTTCTATAGATAAAAAATACTACCGATTAAGAAATATAGACGAAAAATATTTAAGCCGTTTGCTTAATTGAAAAATCAGTTTTGGAAACTGAATTAGACAGTTTCTAAGGAAAAAATAATAATAATTTAATATAATTTAAATAATTAATATTTGTTTGCTATTCTTATCTAAAGTTAAATGAGATATTCTCTTTTTCTAATTGAAAATATATTATTATGTATCTGTTTTATTGCATAGCTAGCGCTACATTGAATTCTTTACGCCGGGTTCGGTTTTACACACCCCCTATAAAAGCAAAAGGATAAGTGGGGGGTATCTTTATACCCTCCTCACTAGGGCATTATGACCGGGGGGTACTTTGGACAGAAAGAAATATCCGCCTTGTCCGGTTTGTGGTCAGCTTCGCGCTGATTATTATTATTACTTCGTTAGTAACAACAACGAAATATAATATATGTAATAAATTGACAGGTATTTCTAATTGATAATTCTTTCGTGATTTGTTATAAAAACCTAGTTTGTTTGTTTAGTAACACAAGAATTGCCGAGCAGTGCAGAGGACAATGGCCCCGAGGCGATAGCTACAAAAATAAATCCCCTAATTTGAAAAAATACGTTATGACATTTTTCTTTTTGTAAATCAATTGTACCAGGAGCTCAGTCCCAATTCCCGCAACAGAAGGCAAACAGAAAATTCAAAGACATCACTCGTAATCGGAGCGACTTGAATTTTGGGGTTTTCCCGCTAAAGTTCGCTCAAAGACGTCCTCAAAGCGAGGGTGGCGGGTACAAGGGTGGCTCGGGTACCATGGGGGCAGCACTGGGGTGGAGGTTACCGTAAACTTTGGCTGGCTAGTAAGTGTAGGCGGGAAGACAGTACTTTGTTCGCCTTTTGCTGCGTGACAGCGGCACTTAAGGGACGAACACAACGCACGGCGATAATATCCAAGTTATATTTGTGGGACAAGCTTAGTTATGTGTTGAGAATTACTACATAATATAATAGATGTACATTTTTTAAGGGTATAAAACGCAATTAAATTTATTTTAAACTACGATCACGACACGATGTTTCGGATGTATATCGTTTACCCGAGTAGTACACATTCAAGCATAACACTTTTAACGGTTTAAGACGCGAAATATATTAGGTAAATAATGTTATAGCAGTCGTGGTTCACCATAACCACGGCTGCTTCAAAACATCGGAAACGTCACATAAATTAAGAATAAGTGAAGTGAATATTTCGCGTTTAAAACCGTTTACAAATGTTTCATAGTATTCGTGTAAACTACAGATACAACTTCCCATAGATAATAATTTTTATTCACGAATTTTAAATGTAAAAACACCTCAATCACTAACTCCACCTTGTATATTACATGTATTCTTTTATTACGTGTATTTTTAAAAGTTTGTAACTAATATAAAAGTAAAGAAACTTTTATAGTATACAAGTTAAAAGTCAGAAGGTTTTCCGTAAGCATTAGTAATAAATTTAATGTAGTAGAAGATTTTTGCTAACGTTTTATGCTAAAAAACTCTATTTTTAATGACTAAATAAAAATTATAGCATAAAATTGAAGATCGATGCTGAAGTGTCCTTAATAACTATAAATAAAATAAACCTTTAAAATCTGGATTTTCTGTGTGACCTATGCTTTAAATTTTGCGATAGTTAGCTAAATTTTTAATAACATTTTAACAACTGTAAAATATGTGTTATTTTGTGATTTACAATTTGAATATTATGCAAAATTTAACATTCGCTATTGTTCGAAAGTTCAACTTCTAAATATTATATTCCTCAGGCTTATAAGAGCCTAGTACATCCTGTATCTTTGTAATTTCCTAAACCTCAGATCACTACAAAAAATCCCCTTCTATCCGTCTGTAGACCGTAACACCCAAAAGTTTTATATAAAGGTCAGACCCAACGTTCCCTAACTCGGCTCTAAGTGTACCCAAAAAAGTATATACCAGGACCCATATAAGCATCTTGTGCCTTCGAGGGTAATGTTAAGAAGGGAAAAGGGGGAAGTGGGGTTTTCCGGCGGGTGGGGGTTACTGGGGAAAAAATTCAGTACCCTTGGCTCGACCCGTTCCCGTCTGTATTCTGTAATTAGTGATGTGTAGGCGGGGATGGGGGTCGATAAATTTTATCGATAGTTTTACAGGAGAACTAATACTCCATATTATTTTCTGAATCACTTAAAAGAAAATATTTCCAAAATATTTAAGGTATATTAAGAATATACAATAAAGACTGTCCAAAACTACTTTCTACCAAAAATGTATAGTTTTAAGACTGTCTGTGTGTTTCTCACTAAAATAAGAATATTCACTCAAACATTCTGATGCGATCTTTATTTCCCTATTCTATAAACAAATAAATTAACAACAAAATAAAAATAAATCACAAGTTACTTCAAACTTAATCTATTAACTAAGGCTTAACGACTTATGAATTCATGTTGCGTGACATATCGATGAAACGAGGCACATCACTACGAGATTATGAGAAGATACAGCCCAGCGCCGCTAACGACGGCCGGAGAGCTGTCAAAAGAACCTACATTAATGTTATTATAACTTCTTCTAGTGTACACGTCACATGTACTCACATATATTTATGTAAAACATTTATACCTATTTTAGGAACCACGGTATCCAAAATTCCTTTTTTTTAGTCATAGTCAAATATTGTATTTTTTTTATTTTTTATTTTTATAATATTACTACTCATTATTGTGGACAAGCTAGATGTCTAAATTGTATTTCAATGACTTCAATTCACAAAGTAGTTACCACCAACTAAAAGCCTTTTCTTTTCACGTGTACAGTGGGGTGGCCCAAAGTTCACATTTGATAGGCACTGCCAACTGCCTAGTTTGGGACCATATAATCTCGGTATTGATAATTTCTATATCTACTTGCCTTTGTTATTTTATTCATAATTTGTAACTACGAAAGTATTATGACTCAAAGTAATCTATAACGTCTAAGGCTATTGTAAGAAGTGATATGCAGCGAGTGACATGGCTCAATGGCAAGACGAGAGCACCGTATGCCGTCTGTCTCGGGTTCAAGTTTCGTCTCTATCATAGATTTTCAATCAATTTTAGATACTTAACGACTTATTATATTTGTTTTTTTTTATATTATATTATATTTTTGAACGAACACAGTAACTTATACTAGTAAAATGTTAATGTTGTTTGAGATAATACACATCAATCTATTATAGTTTACGTCAATACATAAATAAAATTATAACAATTTATAAAATGCTAAACATGTTTATATTATAGACAATGCTTTATTTTAAGGTCAAATCTGTAATGCCCCTAATCCCGGAATTGCGGCTATCTTTGTTTAGTTAGGGGTGCCATGTTGGGTACATGGGATCATAAAATTGTTATCAAAAACACTTATAATTCTACTTTACTGTTACGGGTTCGTGTACATAGGTATAATGAATAGATTTTGCTAGATTACATTTTACATTAGGTGGAGCGACGTTCATTTTTTAAATTTAGATTTAAATTTAAACACTTTCTCGAAAATAAATTACACTTATTAAATTCATAACAGACATTACAAGTGCGATTTTTTTATGCTTCCGTTACTAAGTTAAAAGGAAGAAGAACATTTTGATCCTGAAAAGAAAATTATTTTCGCTTGCCATGCGAGTGACTTACATTAGGAGAAACGTATTCTAACTACTAAGACCGTATAAGTAACGCAAATGTTTAGCACCTATTGCAATGCAACACCCGGGCAACAGCGGTCTATTAAAAATGTAACAATAAACTACCCTACATATATTTTACCTTAAAAATCCGCAAATTCAGAGCCGGTCCTTTCCGAGGGTCTGAAAGGGATTTGCCTTGGGATCTGAGCCCACACTTATACAAAATGTTCAATATGGGTCCCTCCGACCCTCGGGGCAAGTACCTAGGCCGGAACCACCCGCCGTAAACAAAGAAGTTTGTTGCCTCCTAACCATTTATGCTAGCCTGGTGACTATGTATTTATGTTATCGTTGTCTATGTCTAGATCACCCTAGTACAATGATTTTCTTTTAAATGAGCGAGCTATTTACAAAAAAGGCTTTTGTTTCTATTTAATATACTTAACCCTTAGTCTTAATGACAACAATGAAGCTTTTTCCAAATGTGGAAAAAGCTGTGTGGAGTGGATCAAGTGCTCATATTGCTGTGTCTGATCTCTGTTAAAAAAATCTTTAATATATATTTTACACTTACTTACCTTCTAAAATAAAGATTAAAATAATGTTAATCACTGTTTTAGACTGAACTTTTAAATATAATAGTATAATATTATAAGCAAAAAACAAGTTCTATAAATATATTTATATGGACTGCGAACACAATACAAGTGTAACATTAAACCAGGTAACGAGAATCGATAGAAAAATAATTACGAAAGGAAAATATAAGAAAAACCTTATACTAAGATCATAGGCGGTCTAATTGGATCCAGTACGAACAATCCCTCACTTCCATTGTCGACAATAAGGCCCACATCATATAACACGCTATATCCCTTTTGCTTATAAAGTAAACTTGCTTTATATTATTCAGCAAAATTTTGAGATAAATTTATTTGCCCCTGCTGTGAAAACAAAGCAGAATTTTTATACGTATAATATATAATTTAAAATAATATGTATAATGAAAATAATAAAATTCATATTTATGATGGCAGACGTATATAGGTGGGGCGACGAATGTAGGCAACGAAATAAAGGCTGATTGGTAATTGAAACATCAATCAAACGCGGAATCCAAAGAACGACTATTTATTGCATAAAAGTTAAAGCGAGATAAAAGCATCATATCGCATGGCTCATTCTAAGACCGTAGACTAACATAGTTTAACGAATACAGGCTCCGCACGCGAAATGTAGGACCCGTGTGGACCCTCGTCGACCCTAACTAGATAACGATATCGCTGCCACAGGAAAACTTGCTGGCATTACGAACAAATGGGTCATATATGAACAAAGTATATTGTACGGCGCTCAGCTCGTGTGTTTGTTTTCACGTTGCCTTGAGATCAGTTGTACGCGTCTGGCTTCAGATTTGTCGAAGAATTTGATAAAAAAATATAAATTCACATATACCTAGTGTAACATTGATTGAAAAAGCATTCAAAGTTGAAACAGAATACTTTAAATAGCTTAAAACATAAAATTAATTATTTTTTATCAAAGGTTTTACCAGCTTTGGTAGAGCCGTTAAGTGTTGTATTTGTCACGTAAATTATCCACAGTAAATATTCCTTGATAATTTAATATTTTTTATGGATTGACAAGTTCTATATGGCGTTAATAATGTTCACAAATGCTATTTTCAAGAATAAAAGGTCTTAAGAGCAACTACGTTACGATAGGGTGGAAAAAAAAATTAAAATGCCGGAAATTTTCCTATCCGGAAAAATAAAATGTATAAATGATAAGTATTAAGGCGTCATAACGTAGCAGGCGACATGCGGCAGTTCTAAGCAAGTGCGGTTTATTATTTCTTAGCTACTAACACCCTCTGACCCCCTGGTCGTGCGAGAGGCAAAAAGTACCCCCCTACGCTTACGCTTTTAAACCTCAAGCGTCCAAGTACAGGGAATATGAAATTTTCGAAATGATAAAGCCGGTAAATAATAACTGCTATACGCCGGGCACCACGCCGGCCGTCTAACAGTACAGTCTGCAGATTCATTATCTTATTTATTAAAAAATCCTGCCTATCATATAGCAAAATTAACCACTTTGTTGCGGAAAGAGTCACAGAGCCCAAGATAACTTCTGTATGTCAAATACTCTTTTTCAAGAATGCATGTAAACTAAAAAATGTAAAATAAATCCTATATGTAGTCCGTAAGAACACTATGATATAAGTCCAGTTAATCCACGACCAGTATGTGACGTAAAAACATGTTTCTAATAAAGTATAGCTTTTAAAATCCTTATGTAGATGTAGGTGGCTTGACGATAAGCGTTTTTAAAATGTGATCCTTAAAAATCCTTTAGTTTATGTTTGTAATTTAAAATAAAAATCCTGTAATTTTATTACTCAGTCTCAACACTTATTTATTGTTTAAAAATCGAAAATAAATTGAAAAAATTTTGACTCGGGCAGGACTTGAAGCGGCATCGTCAGCTTTCCGTGCTGTTGCTCTACCAATTGAGCTACCGAGTCCTACACCTCATCGTCGAATTTTTTCAACTTATTGATACATGCACCTCTCGCGCAATGTAATTTCAACCTTAACACTTGCGTATTAATTTTTGGTAATTATTGGTTTACAGGACGCTCCGTATTAATATTTGAGTTTAAGATCATTCATTTAGTCATTTTCTCGTCAGCATCCTTTCCAAATATTCTTCAAGCTGATAAATTCATATAATATACCAATAAACATTTTTAAAAAACTATAGAGGTTATTATCTTATTGCAATTATATGAGTTTTAATTAATAATAATATTTTAATCATCCTAATTATCTAAAATATCTAAATTGCAAACTACATGATTTTCCTACATATCTGTTTGGAGACCAGCCACTCACTCTTTAAAAACTCAAATTAGGAAATGTAAATAACCCGAAAAGCATTTGCATTTTACAAAAGAAGTTTTCTACGAGTAATCCTAAAAAACTCGGGCAAACTACATTTTTTTGCAATCAGTACATGAGAGCAGGGTTCGTGTGTCTGCTTTCACATTACCCACTGGCAAGGCGGCCCCTACTACCCCCGGCGCCCGCTGCGATGCTAGTACCTACACCGCTTTTTATTCCTTCCACCGACGAAAGTAATCAATTTGCCTCTGTAATTAATTAAGAAAAGGCTATTTTGATTAAGAAAGCGCCTATGCGCTAACGACGGACGGCTTTAAGTGAATAACATCGATAATTCAAATTTCGAACACATTTTCCTGTTGTCTGTGGAAAAACGCTTTAAAATATGTATTAAATTAAATATCTGTAAAATCATATGACACGGGGATACGAGCCGACGACCGTCGTCACATTTACTTTTTTCAATGTAAAATATATTTTAGAATATAATTAAAGCCGCTAAAGATACACAACAAAGATAATCTATTTTTATTTAATGTATAATAATATAAAGGATAAGGAGTTCCAAAGCTTCTTTATATAAAAAGAAATATAATACAAGCGGAAGAAAAGCTAGCAAAAAGCGTGCGATCTTTTATACGTCAACGTTCTACGACGTAGCATTTTTTACCGGGAAAAACTTTTGGCATGAGGGATTCGACGAGAGTCCAGTATCGGTGGATCTTTTTAGATTTTTTAGATGAGCGTTTTAATCTGTTAAAGTACAGATATAACAATCTGGTAAGATAACATATAATATCAATTATGGTTCACAAGAACGAATAATTGAATTACTTTAAACTTTGTCCGAGTTTGAAGGCAAATTATTATTTTTTTACTTAAATGTAGATCATTAACTTAAGACAAACAATAATAACATATATTAAAGTCTTACCAACGCGAACAAAATGTATTAGAAATTGTATCTTATAAGTAAAAATAGGTCAACGTGGATTTTTTTTAAATTTCAAGTAAGTATTATTAAAAATTAGTACACCGAATTTATATATTTCTAAACAGCAAACATTATAAAACAATACATTTTGGTATATTGACAGAAGACTAAACGTGACGATACATACTTCTGTGAAATAAGGTAACGGATAGCCGGTCTTATTACCAACTAGGTCCCCAGCATTTTTAATGAAAGCTGCGGCGACGGCGTCGGGCGGTCGGGCGCTTAGTATTAATCTTAACGGACCTCCTGTGCGCCCCTGCTCGCTTGGTAGGTGGCACCGAAGGATCCTCAGCGAGGGGGAGAAAATTTTCCGATTTTTCTTCGTTTTCCACAAATCTTTTTTTTCGTACATTATGCACGATGGAATTCGTGTGTACGTTTTATTCACGTGGAAAATTTAGGCAGATTAATCATGACGTGTCACTTTAACTTTTCTATACAGGTTTTCTACAAAGTAGGTAAAAAGTATACTTTATAAACCAAATTTTATCATTACATTATTAATTAACCTGTCTCTTTTGTGTAACTTCTTATCGGAAAGATTAGCCTACGATGAGATTTGTATTTTGTCTAGCTACAGTCACCTAATGTCCAAAGTTCTTTTGGGGATTTCTCCCGCTCAACTCTCATCAACGGCTCCTGTTTTTCACACAATCGCAGCTCCCAAATCGCACGTCAATAAACCGGTTATTTTTCATTCGACAAACGAGAACGTCCGTGTAAAAAATACGTCTCGATCTTTGCTCGCAAAAAATTCTCCGAAAAGGAAGCCACCGACCATTAGGGTATTATCGGGGTAGGAGGGGTGAAAATCAGAAAAAAATTGCGCCGAGCCCACCCTTTCCTTTCGTAGCGTCGCCTCCCCGCCTTCGTAGTTCGTACCCCGGGCGCTAGGGGGCGCACATGTGGTGGCAAATTATATAAGCGACAGGTGAATTTCGAAAATTAAAGTTTCGCCGTGACATAGTGGGGGTTTGATGAGTTTGGCACTTATATATACCATCATAGTACCATCGAGTCGATATATAGAAAGTATAAGGAAATGGACATTTACTCGTAAAGCGATTATTTAAGTTGACAAACCGTCTCATAATTAGCGGGGTTTGCCTCAAGCCCTTGGGGTCATAGGGACAGGGGAGCGTAACCCTTAATGATAATATCCACATTTCCAGGCCCCGCGTTGAACCTATGATAATAAATAACTTTACAAATTTCTTATAAACTATTTTCTAAACAATTTTCCAACCCCTGAACCATTTATTTTTAATTTATTAACAACGAAGCTAGAAAAATAGCGAATGTTTTAAAAAAATAACAAAATATAAATCTCCAGAAGTAAGTACTAGAGTCGCATGCAACACGAAGAGGACTAATTTGTGTCGAG